ACAATATAACCAAAACCTTTTTAACAAAGAGTCTAACATGCATCAAACTACTTCTCACTTCTTAACATGAAGCTTTTGAAAGCCCAGTTAGAAGGAATTATCTGAGATGGTTTCCTTCCCCCACCCAGGATGGTTTACATGATGCAGATTATGCATGTCGGTGTCTGCTGTTTTCATATCTGCACACGTTTTTAAAGCCTCTGAATCTTGTTTAGATTCTAAGATCTTCCTCAGCAGCTTTCAGTTTAACACTCCAACCATCCAGCAGCTGTTTGCATTTCCTTTCAGCCAAATGCTTGAATCCACCTGGGACTGCGGGGAATGGCGCCACCCAGAGCCAGGTCCCAGTGGAGGAGCTCTGTTGGCGGCCATGTGACCAGGAACGCCTTGACCTTTGACTGTCTTTTCAAATACATTTTATTTAAAACGTGGAGATAACAGAAACACATTTTGTAGAAGTAATATATTAATAAGCAGACTTTTATTCCTTCCGCTCATTTCAAAGAATAACAACAAAACTATTTATTGTTGGCAAAAAAATAAAAGCTTGTCCAGTCATATAAGCAACAATTATGAGACAATCATTGTAACATTAGATTTACAGCTATTTATGAGCAAACTAAGTTGTTTGAGATGAAAGGAAATAAATTCAATACATTTCCATTAGGGGGAGTGGTGGTCTAGCGGTTAGGGTATAGAGCTTGGAATCCTGAGGGATTCTAAGCCCCACTCCCACAGACTGCCACTCTCTGAGCAAAGACCCTTAACCCCACACTGCTCCCTGGGCGCCGCACGATGGCAGCCCACTGCTCCCCATGAGGATGGCTTAAATGCAGAGGTGAATTTATAGACAACTTTATAGAGAAGTTATAAAACAGAAATATAGAGACTGAAAATAAATATAAGAAATATAACAATAAGTTATATATAACATTATGAGATATTGTAAAAAAGAATATTATGCAAAATTATTAGAAAATAATAAAAACAATATTAAAGGAATAGTACACCCAAAACATGATTAGCCTTCATTTTCTACTCACCCCCATGCTGAACAACACTC